CCGAATATGTACAACTTTGTGGACGACCCCCTACTCTCCTCCTGCCAATAGTGTCCAGTCCTGTGTATTACTTATTAGTTATTAGCGTAATAGCGTGGTTACTGGTTATTACTTCAGTTATTTAGACAGTCTGTAATTAAAAATATATTTACAAGAATACTTCCACCTTCCACAGTCTTAGTCAAGTATGTAATGATTATATTTAATATTGATACATATGTCTATTAATCTAATATATCCAAGTCAATATATCATTGCTTAATATTACGTTGTTCGTTTTATTGTTGTTCAAGGACTATTTTTTTGGTTAATTGGTATGGAGGCCCGGCATAGAAGAAACCAGTCAGCGAAGTTGATCAATTTATCTAAAAAATATAATACATTAGGTATTGTTAATTATTAAGTAATATTTACCAAAGGATTCGTCTTCTTTGCCATTACGTCCCTATGGCATGCAGCCTGACTGATTAGAGTCAAACTCTAAAGTAAGACAATGGTTGCATCATGTAAATAAACACAAGTTAGTATACCATCCAGACACACTTTCTTGTTCGCAAAGGTGGGTACCATAATCTATATTTCATAATATGTTTATAATTGTTTACTTATTATAGTATTTTATTAATATCATTTTTTTTTTTTTTTTGTAGTTTTTTTTAGGTAGAACATGATGAAGAGCAAAAGAATGAGATTTCTAGCAGTGGTATAAATGATGAAAATGTTATTCTACAAAAAAAAGGTGTTCAGAATAATTCTGATAATATATGTACGACAGATTTTATGAAGTAAGTAAACAGTTTTTTTATCATATTATCTTATATAGTACAATGTTGTCATATATTCACTTGGGTGAAGGATGCAGATATATCTCCACCCATTGTCTCTTTATTTTTTCAAGTATTGGGACCATTTCTTGTGATAGTTATTTTTTTATACATACAATTTGTCTGTAATATAGAATTATTGCTTTGATTGTAGGTAAATAAATTATAAAATTGATATAAGGTTAAACATCAAATTTCAATCAATACTATGCTAGTTAAGGAACAAATGTACTTTACCACGCCCCTCACGAATTTCGAAATTTTTTTAAAAGACGTGTTTTTCAACTCTGATTTCAAAACTGTTTGAATTTTTGTGCGAAAACCATTATTTTGGAAGTTATAGCCTTCCAAAGTTTGCGATTTTACGGTTATACGCATGCGCGCAACATTACTATAATGCCCCGCGGAGGACGTCAATATTTTTATATAAAAAGTTACTAGTCCATATGCATAGTTAATTTGTGTTTACACTCCTTGACCTGTTTACATAAGTATATAGTGACTCCCTTCGCCTATCGGCTCCGGTCGCCAGTTAGTGTAACATAAGTCTATAGAAGCTCGAGGTCCTGCAGACCTCTCGCTGGGTGGCGGCTCGGCCCCTAAACCCCCTGTGGCTTAAATAGAAAACCTGTTTGGGTGGGGGATGGGTGGCGAACAATTCGTGGTCGGGTGGTGGATGGGTGGTGAACAATTCGGGGTCACGTGGGGAGAGCATACCTGCCCTTCGGGCAGAAGGAAGACCTAACAAGTCAATTTTTTTTGAAACATAGATAAATCAACGTCTTACAAATGATGGCACCAATGTAAATGGCTAATTTACCTAATCTAAGTTTTCAGTTTATATTATAATCCATAAACACACTATATTCAGACAAATAAAGTTATGTTGTATAGTATGTATAGTGATAACTCATCTTACGGCACTCGTCGCTTTTTAGGGCTTATTTTGGATATACAGATACCTTGTAAATATGGGGGTAGATACATAATATTATGTACAACTAGTATTTTCTTTGTTTAATCTTTAATTTAAAAAATATAAAAATTATTGAATAGATATCTAACCTAGTTTTGCTAATTTATTAAGCTGTTTTCGCTTTTTTTTTTTCAGCAACTTCTTTTTGAGCTTCAGCGCTGATAAAATGCATCCTACAAATTAAATAGAATGTTACTACAGCTATTGTAAATTCTTTTTAATGGACATGGTCAGAGCATCCTATCTTCACAATGTTACTAGATGATTCTAGCTCATCTAAAACTGTGTTGACCATGTTTTTATGTAACTTTTCTGATTTAACTGTTTGTATAATAGTAAGTTCAAGCTGAAAATATTAATTTAGTTAACAGTTAGGTTCGATTTTTAAATGTAGATTTATTGAATTATGTAAAAAATTACTTATTATTTGTTATATTTACCTGCAGAACAATGTTATACAGATCATTTGATGGCTTTAAAAGTCCTCCATGACTTTTCTGTTCAAGGAAACTATTTCTTTCTAATGTACTCTCATTTTTAGAGTCACATAGAGATTCAAAACATTCATGAGTTCATGACAGTTCTTTGCTAGTTTTGATTTTCTTATTTTTCTTGCTATGTATCCAGCAAATACTGTTAAAGCATATTCATCAATCATTTCTTTAAAAGTATTATCTTCAATTTCAATATCCATGAGTGGAGAAGCATTGTTTATAATATCAATAATGTTCTCAAAATGTTCTTTGCGTTCCTTATGTTCCTCACCAACCAAATCTTTTAAGGAAATTATGGTTGATAGTAATTCACTTCCTGTAACATTACTTCCACGTATTGGTTTAACCAATGAGTACACAGATAGAAGCCTATAAACTTGAACAAACAACAATGAATCTGGACGAGAGTTGGATCCACAGGCTCCTCTCATGTGTCCAAAAAAATGCTAAAAAATGTAAAGTTAAAAGTTATTACATTTATTATCATTAATTATATTTTATTTTTATGGTAAACACACTTCCAGAGCATCTTGGTTTAATTGTCTTGTCATTAAGTATTTATAATTCAATTTTTCCGACAAATATTGAATCAGCTCCAAAGTGTTTTTTACTGTAACGTATAATCCAAAGTACGTCAATGCTGTCATTTCATCTGCAGCGCCTATACAGAATTTCTTTTTTTTGAGTGTTGGGTCATACAATCCTTTTTTAGTTGCTGCCATTTCATCAATTTTTTTAAATATTCCAAAAAAATTGTTAATGTCTGTTAAGTTGATAAAATATAAAAAAACAAAAGCAAAAATATGTGCATCATAAAAATATAATTCTTTTTTTATAGATATCAAAAGATATTTACTGAATTATGATTAGAGAGCGGATCAGGTTTTAAACCATCAGATGGCTGCTGTGAATTCATTGCATCTATAAGTTTGTTTATACGTTTTATAAACATAATTGTTGGTAAACAATTTTTTAATGATTCAATTCCTTTTTCTTTGTAGTGTTCCATTGCAGCTGCTACAGAGTGTCCAAAAAACTGAAATTAATTTTTAGTAAAATAATGAAGTGATATTAGGTACTGCAAATTGGTCAAGTTAATACATACCTGCATAGCCATTTTAACATTCATTCTTTGATAGTTGCTTGGATTTATAAGGTCATTTTTGAGGGTATAACAAACCTTAATGCTATACTTCTCATTTTGTTCTACAACAGCCCTCCAATGATCGAGACGCACTGTACCTTCAGGTAACTAGTTAAATTAGGAGGTATAAGAAGATTTAGAATAATTGTTAGTGAATATGTATGTATATATCAAATTATTAATTTAATGTGTTTGATTTAAACTATGCCTTACTTCAAGAACTTTTCTAGATATTAGTCTGTGCTATAGACATTTAATCAGATGTGGGAAGTCTGAACCAAACCAGAGTTCTCTACCTGAATCAATAGGATGCATACATGATGTTGAGGATTCTGAAATTCCAAATCAGTTCCACATTGCTCTATTCCAAGTAGCACCATCTGTTGTGATAAAATCTACTAAGTAACCACTATTTTCTAGAAGACTAATTGCTGCTAAAACAATTTTTTCTAGAATTTTTCCATTCACAGGGCCTGCACCAAGAAATGCTCCAATCGGTTGTACCCAGTTGCCACGGAATGGTTGATACATCAGTACAAGTGCATGATCACCTCTTTTTGTCAAATCTTTGTTTGAAGTATGGGCACCAAGGTCAACAAAACCATGAAACTGTAAACTATCGCGTTGACATTTTACAGCTGATTCTAATTGCATTTCATCCAGAAGTAAACAACATAAATATTAAATTAATTTTTTACATTTTTTTCTATACCTATATGAAAATATTTAAAAATATATATATATAAATATCTTTCAATTACCATGTCTTTCTGCCAAACTAAAGTCTTGAGCTTTCTCTTTCATGACTTGAAATGTGTTTTCTTGGAATCCATAAGCAGTGTGCAATTTTTTGATATACCTTCCAAGTTTATTTTCTTTCCTCATTTTTCTGTATAATTTTGGTCCCTTGATACGCATTAACAAGCGTTCATATGCCCATTCTAGACTATATCTTCTTCCTTTAGAGCTTTTACATTTAGCTGCATTAAAAATTGTTTTAACCATTTCTTGTTGCTCTATTGGCAGATCCAGTATGCAATCATTCAACATATCCTTAGAAACAAGGCTGCACTATTTTTGCATTGTCCATAATTTCTGCTTCAATGTAACCAACTATATATTTGAAACAGATATAAAGTTAATACATTATAAAATACCGACAGTTGATAATAGTCTATAACATTTTAATTATAATAGACATAATTATGAATTTATATAAAACTGGATTGTTCATTATAAATAGTTTTAAAATTAGAATATCAATATTGTAAATGTAATTTAGCAAAATTACCTAGTATATAAGTGAAGTCATTATTTTACTTACATATTTGATATTATGTATATGTATAATTAATAAAATAGGAAATATTTTTTTTAAATCTATTCTAAAAAATAGTTAACTTACATTATTCTTAATTCTAGTTTTTTTGTTGATGTTTAGTTTTTAACTTTCTTGTTAGTCGTTGAAGTATTTTAGCTGGTGTTAAATTTGTGGATTTTACTTTTTGCAGTTTTCTTCTTTCTGATGCACAGTTAGAACATCTTACAATTCTCGAAGAAGTTTATGAAGGATCAAAGAAACGAACACACAATTTTGATTGGCGACAATTATTAACTCCTTTACATATTTTAAAGCTATCTACATTTTGAAGTAATAGTTGCAAATCGTTTTCACTTTTTATTTCATTAACTTCAATTTGTTTATCAATAATGACTACACTTGGTAAACATGAATCAGTAAAAACCACAGTTTTATCAGTTTTTAGTTGATCATTTATGTGAACAAATGCTATTTTTTCTAATGGAATCAAATGCAGTCTCCACATATTCCCTGGAAGTATTATATTTTTTACAATTTTGTGAAGATAAGCTATTGAAAAAGATTCCTTCAATTCAAAAATTCTGAAAATATAAGAAACCCCAAAATATAATTAAATAACATTTTATATTATGGATATAATTAATAAATTTATGTTGTAGTATCATTAAGTACAAGTAGTGTCTTACTCATTCGGTGAATTTTGGTTCTTGTACTATTTTAATTTCATCTAAGTCACTTGTTGATGCATTACAAACCCTCTTTTTTATTTCTTGCCTGTTTTTTGGTGCCGGTCTTTTTGTCCCTACATTTGAAAATCGTTCTGGTAAGCCTAAAAATATTGTCGGAATAGCATTTTCTCTCAATGCCGGACGTATTCGTTCAATGTATTTAATTGACCCATCAGGCATTTTACACTCATATTTTAAAAAATCATCTTCTTTAAAATGTAAACCGCAAACTACATCTTTTATGGATAAGTTCCTATCTTTCCGCTGTATTTTATTATTCCATACAGATAGTAAGTCCTGCAAGATAAATAATTTTAAAACTTTCATGTTTATACCAGAATACCTGTATTAGTTGTTATGTAGCTTTTTATATATTTATTTTGTTTTTGTTATTATTATTTTTTTTTTTTTGTCTTTCTAGTTATATTTTTATTTATCCCTTTGTTATTAGTTTAATATGTGTCAATTATTATGTAATGTTTTTTTTCTTGTTAAAGGGCGTATGTCCGTTGATTATTAATAAATAAATAATTTAGACTAAATATTCAAACATTGTATTTGTTATTCTTATTAAAAATATAAAGTCTCTAAGAGATAACTTAGAATGTAAGAACCCTAGAGAACATTTTGATTTAAATGACATAATGCAAACATTAAATTTGTATTAAAAATCAGACTGTTCTTTATTATTGGTTTTTTGTATAATTAATTGTATATTTAATTATTTTAGTATTAAGTTATATACCTACTTATATGTATTGTATAGTTTTCTTTTGTCTTAAAAAAAAATGTTGTATAAAGATCAGTAGAATAATAAAAAAATTGTAGACGCAGGCTCCTCTCGGTGGTCAACGTGTTAAGTTTCGTTAGAGGTATGTTACAGTACATAATTAAGTATACAAAATATTATTATAATTTAAAACAAAACAATAACTATCTACATAGCCGTCCCAAGGGGGGGGGCAAATGGGGCAAGTGCCCTAGGGCGTCTTAAGTATTATGAATTTAGGGGGCGTACTAGAAATGGATGATAAAAAGAAAAATTTGGTGTTCTTATTTTAGGTATTATTTTTTTGTTTATACTGTAATATCAAAGATGAGTATCTATCAAATTGTATACTATTAAGTAGGTATACAATTATGTAAATAATGTGTTAAATCTTAATGCGACATAACTTCAATAATAATATATTCAATATTTATAAAAACAAATAAAAACATTAATACTTATAAGTTATAAGATTATTAAGATTACAATAGTAATTTATTTAGGCACATGAAATATATTATAAATATGTATATTATACATCATTACAATAATTAAGTTATTGTAATATACTTATAAACTAAACTAATTCATATCTTTGGTACCTAGTAGTACCTTTTTTATTTTTTGTCTGTCATCACGTTTTAGGACAGTAAAAGTGCTTGGATTTTCTTCAACAGTATCTTTTCTGATAGGAAAGTCCGAAAGTGAATCTAGTTGGTACTTTGGGGGGGGGGTCAAAAGTAAAAATTTCCCAGTAGTTTTCACAAGCACCGGGAAAAACAACATAAAAATTAAGGAAAAACGGGAATTTTTACGCAAAATCGGTTTTCCAAAAAATCGATTTTGATTTTTGGTGTGACTCTAAAAGAAATGAACGTATGTACAAGAAATTTTCACTGGTTGTTTATATTTACATTTTGTATACACGATAACATTTTCAAAATATTTTGATTTATTTTGAACTGTTTAGGGACATTTTCATTTTCCATTTTTTTTTTAGTTTTTTTTCTAAAAAGATCAATAAAATTTTATTTGTTGGTTGCGAAAAGTTGAAAATTTAAAAGAAGGCTTCTAGTATATTGTTTCAAAGGTAGATGAAAAATATTAAAAATCCTAAGTCACAATTTTTTTTTATAAGGATTTAAAGTTCAAAAATTGACAAAATATGGAAAAATCACGAAAATTAGCAAATTATTTTGAGTTAAGAATTCGTAAAAATTTTTCTTTTTTTTTGAAGATTTGAAAATGTAATACAAGATTCCTTATAAGATTATCTACCTTTATCAAAAAAAAAATGTCTATTAGAAAGTCAAATTAAATTTTTATGAGCGTTCGAAATTCGTAATATTTAAGTATAAACGAACAATTTCAAAATGTTTTAACTTAATGGATTTTTTTAAATCAACTGAGAAAAGCTAAGTTATTTCAATTGTAAATTAAACTATTTAAGTTCATAAGTTGATTAGAAAATAAACTAACTAGTTAGATTAAAAAGTTAAAAAAAAATTAACTTTTTAACTGAACTTTAACTTTTCAACTAGTTAATGCCCACCTTTGAATTTTATAATCACTTATATTCACTTGTGCAATTTACAATGTTGACTGTTATACTACACTGTTATTACACACGCAGAAACGCAGAACGTAGGATTTATAATGAAATCTAGGTACTAATTTGTGAAAATAGTTATATATATTTTCTTTCTGTAATGTACGAGTGTTCCCAGAATAATGAAATCGGTGTTCAACTAGAAACAAAATAAATATGATTCCAATAATAATATTTAAAAAAATAAGTAGGAACCTTTAATTAATAAGTATTAAACATATTTAAGGTATGTGGTTAATTATAAGCTAAAAATGTGAAGTCGAGATTTTTTGGTGGGAGGGTGAGGGGCGTCAAATATTGTTGCCCTAGGGCGTTATTGGTGGTTAGAGCGGCACTGACTATCTATATTACTTGTGGTGGATGGAACATGGATGGTAAATTTTTCCCTGCTGATTTTAATATTTTAGTATTACTTAAGTAACCAGACTTGCATGCGGGAACAAAACATTTGTTGGGCATATTTATTAGCACAATATGAAAAATGTTTAAAAATAATAATAAGTTTTACCAGTTTTAGGTAGGTGTGGATGGTTATATTTCTACTATAGGTAGTGTGGTACTGTGGTACTATAGAATAATAAAATATAAATAAACAATGTTCATCAATATGTTAATAATATGCTTATTATTCAAAAAATATACTGAAATACACCATATTGCTTATAAAATATTTCCGAAACCGGCCTTCTTAGCGCTTCCTGGTAGACAATTATGTAACTAAACTGCCGTAAAAACGGTACCTACTCACTTATTTCTCATACGTACAATATTGATAGTGACTAGTGACTACACCGTTTTACCTACATCGAGCTCAGTACCTATGTCCTATAATACGGTCTATTGGTAAATCGTATGTTCATTTACAGAAATCTTTGTGATCTGCAATGTACTTATTCTAGTTTTCGATTTCTGTTATAGTACGCATGCCAAATTTAACTACACAGATTGCAGGTCCGCAAGTTTATGGACATTCTAATACATTCACCCGCCAGTGCCCCTAGACACGGTGTTTGAGAAGTTATATTTTTTTGGTACCTAATTAAAATACAATATGAATTATTATAAGTTAGGTACCTATATATCTACTTGTAAAAAAATTGACTACCGGGATTTAAATAACAAAATGTGATTTAGGTAACCTATTGGCTATTGATCTATTATAAAATAGAAACTTAACCTACCATTAATATCCCTATATAAAATAATTAAAAGTGATAATTTGAAGACGATTTCTTAAAACCCTAAAATATTTTTTTTAATTTAGTGTCTAATCCATAAAGTTTAGCGCCCACGCAAATTTTTAAATTATTTTTTTCGGAAACCTATGATTTGCAACCTGTTATAACATTAATGATGTAAAAATTATTAACTTATAGCATATAAGTTTTAGAACTAATATTTACTTTTGAAATTATATATTCAAATAAATTGCGCACGCCAACATTTTTAGAAAAATTAAATAGTAGGTATGTATAGTAGTGTAGGTAGGTATCTAGACAAAGAAATATTATTATGTCGATCTTCAATGACTAAGTAATGATTTTACAGCTGACAACGTCTTCTTAGCTCTCACCACCTTAGCCACACCCCGTTGTCTGCATATCAAGACTAATAAACTTGTCAATTCGAAAGCGATCGTTATTATATATTATTGGATGTATCCAATTACACGGTCTACATTTTATACCGGCAACTATTTATACATAAAAATGATCCTAATGGAAAAACTAAATAACAGTAACGTCTTAAACGTGCTGCGTGTGCTTAGTGATTTTGCTATTTTAGAAAACTAAAAAAAGTTTTAGAAAAAAATATACAATTGGAGCACATATCAATGATATATCATCATATTCAAACACTAAATGTCCAGAATCTTAAACAGAAAAAACAATATTGCCAATGATTAGCTCATTAAGGAATGATGATACAGAGGGTACCTGCTTGTTAACAATATTCAAGTCTATACCAAAAATTTAACCAGAGTCAAATTTCTGAAAAAAAAAATTGAAGGGGGGTGTTGGCGAACGCAGGCAAATGCATTTTAGAATAAAAAAAAAAAATAGAAAAAATTATACAGTAGGCAAACAAATTAAAGAGTTCAAAATAAAATGTCCAGAATCTTAAACAGAAAAAACAATATTGCCAATGATTAGCTCATTAAGGAATGATAATACAGATGGCACCTGCAGGTAATCAATAATCAAGTCTGTGCAAAAAATTCAACTAAACTCAAATTCCTAAAAAAAAATTGAAGGGGAGTGATGGCGCCCGCAGGCAAATGCATTTTAGAAAACCAAAAAGGTGGATTAATATATTAATTATTATTATTATTAGATCTATATACACACGAAATGTATGACCTGGATAAAGTCCACTAATGCATTCAAGTTCGACGTGACCAGCATATTACTCGCCACCTATGCTCATCAAATGCTTAAAATAAGTGTAAACATAGTTGCGTATATAATGTATTTAAAATATAAATGTTAATAATTGTTTTAAATACCTAAAACCTAAGGTGTTCCAATGTGTATAGTGCATTGTATAATAATTATGCAAAAAAGGAAGGTACCTACCCATACGTATTAAACTTAGAGCGGTGTACTGTTCGGGCTCACTTATTTTATACATTGCGCGTTAAAAGTGATGATTTGAAGACAATTTCTTAAAAGAACTAAAATATTTTTTAAATTATGTGTTATAATTCGTATAGTGTAGCTCCCACGCAAATTTTTCAATTTTTATTTTCGGAAACCTAGTTAAATCAACGTTTTAGAATGATTGAGCAAAAATAATTCTGACACCCACCCATGGTGGTTTTACATAACAAGTCGATGGATGTTTTTGATTATAATTGACTGAGCGATCGCAGCTAGGTACGTCCGGTATATATGAAAATACCCAAAATTTAAATTACCTATAACTTTCAAATAAGTCTGACCACCAAAT